CAGGAATAAACAACGCTAGTAAAGAGAACAGCATATCATAAACTCTTACTGACCACAGGCCACGTCTGTGAGAAGAAAGGCTGCACAGCCGTCTGGATCTTGAATCAACCAGACAGGAATCCTCTCTCAGACAAGACCTTCTTTCTTTATTGCTAGGCACTTAAATGATTTTACAAGATCACTGCTTAAAGGCCAGGGGAAACATACATTTTGTATTTTGCAGTACTAAAGTTAATATACTGTGTGGTTTCTTCCCCCTCAATTTCTGCTATACCAAAGTTTTCTGCCTAATCCTGCTTCCCAGACAAATGACTCCAGAAACAGCAGAAGCTCTGCTTAGATTTGCCTCTACACACATAATTATCTCCAAACAAACATTAAAAATACTCCTAAAGAAGCAGAAGATGTTAAGTAGAAGCTTGAGTTAGCCCTTGAGAGTGTCTGACCCATGGAGCAGCACTGAATTATGTATGAACGTGGCTGGCTTTGCATTTTAAGAACATGATGCAACAGAAGGTTCCGATGCATGCATTGGAATAATCAGATTTTTCCGTGTCACCCAGAAGCACAGCTTTGTAATTCGAAGAGCAAAACAACCCAGGAACATCTAAAACTGCTCCAAATGTTCCTATGAAGGATTCTTAAGAAGAGAGAAACAAAGTCGGCTTCCCTTTTCGCATAGTGACAAGAAAGCTGAAAAGAAAGTAGGTACCAAACATACAGACAATAAAAGCATCAACACAGATTCATTTTTTCCTACAAAAGCAAAAGCTTTATCTTAATGTAATCAAATAATTCCTTAAGCACATTCCGTATGCAGTTGCAGAAATGTTGCTTTCATGCAAGGACAATCACAGCTTGAGAAATACTCAAGGCATTCATCTACTGCGCCAATTAAATACATATTCTGAAGTTTGTCACGTTTTGATTTAGAGGTGTCTTAACTTAAGGCATTTAAACTAGCTCACGGGTGAAATTGGAAGCCAGGGTTTTCAAGGAAAAGGCAGACAGTTCTTAGGCACTTCGAATTTCTCAAAATCGATCACAGTGTCACAGTCCAAATGACTCTGGACACCTTTGCCGATTCCCAAAAGTAACATGAATATAAACCAAAGTAAATACCTGGTTGTGCCCAAGGTTGCTGTGAAAGGCTGTACTTGGGACCTCCTTGAGTGGCCATTGTTTTTAAAGCAGCTACCTAAAAAAGTAAAATCAACAAAATGATGTTTCTTTCAGTTAAACTCACAACGAAGTGACCAAGTAAAAATTGCACAAGTCTCGTAGATACTGTAGTGAACAGAATCTTCCCTGCTCTCTCTCTCTTCTATGCCCTGACTTTACAACACACAGGGGAAGCAGCTTGACAGAAGTGCAATTCAAAATTACAACCATGATCAATTCTTGAAAGTAAAATTCAAAATGGGATTAAATTTACAAAGACGCTTAGGCACCTAAGGATACAAAACCTCAAAAGAGATTTATACTTAAGCAGCTTAGTCCAACTCCCCAGATTCCCAATGAATCACTGGGATCAGTCAGACCATCTATCAATCTCACCAGTTGCCCATCTGTATTTTAGGTATGGCACTGGGCCCTACCCCAGCATGACAGGCATTGGTAAATTTAATGCTGTAATCTTCTAAATTCCCAAAGAACAGCAGCTGGGATACCTGCTGTCCGTGCAGTGCTGTAGCCCCACTTTCTGACAGCTCACGCCACTTACTCTCAGCACACAAAGATCCACACCACACTTTTCATTTTTCAGAATAGGTCATGCTGTGTGGTTTTCTCGAGATACCTAGAAATCCTGAGCAGGTTCTAGAAAGAAATGTGTCGTAACAAGACATCTTTTTTGTTTCTGTCTCCTAAGGTGCCTAATCTTTTTGACCACATTTTACCAGGAACTTCTGTCACAAACAGGACTCGTGAGGAAAGTCCTGCTCAGCAAACACCTCACTGGTGTAAAATAAACTGAGAACATAAAATTTTAACACACTTCACAGCCATGCTCTCAGACCTCCCTCAAGAACACACATGACCCAAGATCGTTTTTGAAGTCTTACAAATGCAGTCAAGGTAGGAATTTTCCTGCAAAAAGAAAAGCTCCTGCCAACCTTCACAAACCTGTTTCAACTCAATGAAACACTAAAGCTTCTTCAAAGCATCAAAGAGCACAAGGGTTGCCTTTAAAAACAAACTGTGTCATGTTCCTTTAATCCATTAATCTCAAAAATGCCTAGAAAATTGTGGTTGCAACTTAAAGGAAAGCACATCAGCTAATCAGACAAAACTAGCATCTTCTCCTTCACCCAGTTTAAATACCAATTGCCTTGTCCTCCCAGTTCTTCAGTTAGGTTAACAAACATACAGCAAGATTGCACCTTTGTCATGAACTCCTCCAGCTGTTCGATAAACTGTTTGGTTTGCTGCTGAATAAACTGCTCACAAGCTGACTTCAGGTGACGATCTACATCTTTCTTAGAGTCGATATAATGTTCTCTGATTTCAGGAGTACCCTTGAACAGAAGACAACAATTCTCTTTTTTTATTTGCCAGAGATCACCACATGCTTAAATGACCCAGTTTTTCTAAACGCAATAAGACTCTGTATTACCTCCAGTAAGAACTGTATCAAGGCGTTGTTGCTGTTTAGTCTAAAAAATCTTGAAACTGTCTTAGGATTCAGGATTTTAAAAGCTGCATCTGTGAATCAGAAAGTCACTCACACTGTAAGTCAATGCAATTCAGTTCCAGGAGTTACAAACTCTAATCACTTGTTTATGCATGAAAATGGCCCAGCATGATCAGGACCTTAGCATTAATGATTCCAGTACTACCAGGAGTGGATGCACAAAGGCACATGCACAGAACAATACAAAGCTTAATCCACTATTTTGTACATTGCACGTAAGGTAAACCTGAGTCTAATGGTTGCAGAGTCTAAACAGATGAACACAACACAAGAAACTAGCAAGTTACTGATACTATCTACAGTGCTATCAGCCTGCAAATTGTGTGAGCTCTCCTCTTCTTGCAAGTCTATCTACAAGTGAAAGACTTTCACATAAGCTCTGCAGTTAAGCATTTATGAACAATATGCAGAATTTCACACATGCTGCCTGGGAAAACCAAGTGCATTTGCATGAAATAACTTAGAACTGGCACTCTTTTCCTCTGTGCTTAATTATTCTAGTTAGGACTAAACAACATAACATCGAGCTTGATAAACATTCATGTTTGTGTTCTCCACAGAAGTCCCAAGAAGGAAAAGCAACACAAGGTACTGAAATTAGTCCAATACAGTTAACAAGTTGTTGTCAACCTGAAATCTAGTCAAATGGCAAAAAGAAAATTATCAATAGTTTCTGTATAGCTTATTGTCCTATTGTCATTCATTTATCACCCTACACATCCATCTGTTTGGTTTTTTGTTTGCATTCCAAAAACAATTCTGTTCCCCCTCTTGCTGTATAAACAATGGGAAGGAGATAAGACATAAGAGTTAAAGTGCTGTCCAGGGCATTAAATAGAGGGAATACCAAATACATAGGCATGTGGGTTTTGCACCGAATCCCCACTCCTATGCAGTTAAGGGAGACCACAGAGAAAGAGTATTTTTTTCTCTGAATTATTCCTCAGAACCTTCATCAATTCCAAAGACTGCCCAAGTTCTTGATTAGAAGCCTATGAGCTAGTCAGTGAGAAAGGTCCTTCTCCCACTGTATTTTTCAGTTACATGAACCTTATTATACTACTTCAAAAAAAATTGGGTGACGGCATGACTCCTACATTAAGCAGTATCCCTTCATCTATAAGTCCCAAATTAAGTCTTTAATCTTTATGTGCAGAAATTTTGGCATAGCCATGTTATTTTTCTTCTACAACTCATCCCAAATATAAAAGTCTTATTTGCCTTTGCTAAACTACATTAAGAATTAAGCACAACTTACATCTTCTCAACACCATTACCACTACACAACATAAAAAAAGTGTTTTTCAGTACTTACCACTACCATCTGCAGAACACTGGCTGGCACAAAAATTTATTCAATTATATGAAGATGGAGAATAAATTTGTGTGTCAGCCAGGACAAGACACCAAAAGGATGTATTTGCCCTTTAACCTCTAGTCAACTAGAAACCACTCAACAGAAGGGAGGTTTCATTGATGTTCAAATGCAACAAGTGAAATGGTTAGTGCAAGAATTGCTCGCTTCAGAGGGAAGACAGCAGCACATTAGACAGCAGGAAAGAGAAGTTATTTCTTCAGCTTTCTCTTCTGGAATGGAAGGAGAAAAACTGGACACGCTTCCAGTTATTTTTCCCATTACCTTTCGAAACTTGGAAAGTGCATGACAGTTCACTTTTGTATTGAGAACTTTTTTCCCATATTTTACAAAGGAACCACAGTACAATTTTAAAAATCATGACCATGGCCACTAGTTCTATTTTCATTTCCTACAACAGACACATAATACCATTCAACAATCCTGTTTTATTGAACTTGCAATATAAGAAATCCTTACAACAAAAACCTTACAGAAAGGTCTAGGAGATCTTAATTTGTTCTAGGCAAGTCAAACAATGTATGTTTAAATTCACCTGCTAAACAGCAGGAACAAAAGATATTCCTTTAAAGGGTCAGAAAAGGGGAAAGACATCTCTGTGCAATAAAAATGTTACTTAGCTGTTCATAAGAAGGACTTGATGAATAGGTTAGGTCAGCAGCAAAAAGCAGACAAATGAAAAAAAAAGAATTTGTTAGATACATCTTGAGTTGTCCTGAGTAACAGAACAGATTTGGGATTTTTTTTTCAGAGGTGCCGAGAACAAAGCAAGAGATTAGAAAAAGCATACAGGTCATTGCAAGTGAACATAAAATAAACCCAGAACTTTTGCTGGCACATTAAGGGAGGACAATCCCATCCCATTCTGTAGCCAGCAACTGTTTAGTACCTCTAGTTTTCTTAAGGTCCAGGGAAATTTCCTTAATGGTGAAATCAGTGTGGAAAGGAGCAATTTGTTCACGAAGAATCAAAAGGTGTTTTATTAAGAAAAGCTGTCCATCAACTTGGGTCTACAGCACAGAGAGAAAGAACATGCATTACACATAAAAAAAACCCAAACAATTAAATTAAGAGCAAAGTTTCAACATTTCCACTTTTATTAGTTAACAAGTTTTTTCCATTAGTCTGCAGGCCATTAACTACACTCTGGGATCAACAAATCCCATTTCTGTACTCTTCCTAATACATTGCTCTACAGAAGCAGACTTTATTCACATTTCTTAGAAGAATTAGATTACACAGCCATATTACTAAATGTCCCCATTAAGTACAGGTAATCCATTATTTAAAAGATACAAACTTATTCTTCATAAGAGCCAAGAATTATTTCATGTCATTCATATAAATTATAGTAAAAAAATATGAGGTTCTAAATTTGTTGACTAAAAAAAGCCAAACAGTTAATGTTTCTGTAATAACCTTGATTAACCGTGCTATTCTGCTAAGGTCTTACAAGGCATTTTTCTCATGTCATCAAACACAAAGCTTAGTTAATTTCCAAACAGTACAGCAAAGATACAAAGAATAAAACAAAGCCAAGTTCACACCACCAAGACAACCAGTTTTGCACTGCTTGTTATTTTAGCTACGTGTGTTATACCGCATGCTGGTTTTAATCTTTGAAGTTTCTTTTTAAAGGTACTATTTTTAACATATATTTTTCAAAGGACACTCGAAATGCTTCAAAACAGCTCTTCCTATCTAATCAAACTAAAACTTTCTTCATTACTAAATATTTACTGCTTATAAAAACCCAACAGTTTTAGTCTACTAAGACTTTTCTTTCCTGGCTGTTAGGAATTAGCAAATTACTACAGTATTTGTATTAAAGGAACTATGACAGGAATAAAGAAAGTTTACTCCAACTACTTAAACTAATGCTTAAAGTTAAATTGACTTTATCAATCTGCCTTGAATCCTGAGCAATATATAGCAGGTCAAACCTTTTGATAATACAGTTCTGAGCAGAGAATACTTAAAAATCTTCCTAGTGAATTTAATAGCTAGAAAGATTTTTGAAAATTCAAACAACATAGGCAGAGAAAAAGAGAAAAGAGTAACAGGCAGTGAAAACAAATAGAGGTAGCAGAGTCCTCTAGCAGAATTTTTTCTTTAGGCATCACTTCATTGAATTCCCATGAGTTAGAGCAGCCTGCAAACAGGATTGTTATGATGTGCATTGCACCTTTTCAGACAGGCTAACACGTGGATCATTATCTTTGCTTTGCAATACATTAACCGTAACTAAGAACTGGCAAATCCATCAGGTCTCTGGGGGCAGAGCAACATGCTTTGACTAAGATTTCAATAGAATTCTGAACAACTGCTTCATGACTTTAGATATACACAGGGCAGGGGATAGGGTGTGTGGTGGAAATCATACCCAAAGCACAGATTCTGACCTTGTTTTTGCTGATGGAATCAGCAGCTCCCAGCAGCGACTGGATGCAGGCAGATAAGGCCTCTTGCGATAATCCCTGAAACACTGCCCTCTGCGGGGAAGAGGAAATCAGAGCAACAAAAACGTGTTAGCAAAGTTTAGGCAGAATTTTAAGGGCTGTGCTTTCCAGCATATAAAAGCCTGGATTAAGTAGCTAGAAACATGTTGCTTAACTGCAGTCAGACAGGATGGAGCATTCACTCACAACAGCTTGGTACAGCACTCAGACTGCATACAGGTACACACTGGAGCAAGCTCTGCTCACCCTCTGGCTCTGAACTGGCACCTGGGTAGTGACACAGTGACACCTCACGCAGTCAGGGCTAATAGCAAGAACGATGTTTGCTGGGGAACCTGACAGACACCTGGTGTCAGGGTAACTACCTGTGCGTGCAAGTTATACCTGCAACAGACCCGAGATCATTCAAGTGAGCTTAACCTCAAGCAAGCTCAAATTACCTCACATTTGTGACAGGCTAGTAAACAAACATGACAGCTGCCATGGCCTGGGTGACACAGACTAATCAACTCATTAAACTGCAGCAACTGGATCCTCTGGCTGAGCCATAGGAGCACAGCTTGCCTCCCCCAGCACTGCAACGTAACACAGGACAGCCCTGACCGCCTCAAGCCTTGCCAGTGCCACTTCATTCATGTCTTCTCCCACCTACAAGGTGCAGGCAGTGGCTACCAGTACTACTAGAGCATCTCAGTGGAAACAGAAATTAATCTCTGTGCAGACACACTAGAAATGAGCCTTGCAAACAACACAAAAATGACCTCATCTCCAAAGGTCTAGCTGAAAACAAGGGCAAATACTCATTTATCTTTAATGAGATTGATATTTTAAGCAATAAAGCATTAATATTTTCCAGCTTCTTTTTCAGCAAATAGTATCTTGGTAGTAGTTTCATATAACACCCATCAAAGATATTTTGAAATCCATTAAACGTATCTAATAAAGATACAACACATACTGAAAAGCAAAAACACTTGCATTATTTTTCTCTGATACTTATCAGCCTTTTATGTTACTAGGTGAGACATAAAACATTCTAGTGGGCAAGTCTCAAAATACACGCTCAGTGAACACTGCTTTTGCTTCTGTTAGACATAAAGATTCCTACTGCCTTAAAATTTGGAAATGTCTCCTACAATTTGGAAGCTTAAAAGATGTGCCACAAAAAGGTTTTCAGAACACTTCCAAAATGTATAAGTAGAGAGTCACCATTTTTAAGACCAGAAACAAACATCATGTTGCCTGATGTCCTGCAAAGCACAAAGCAAGAAATACATTCACCAGTAATTTCAGCAATAAAATCACTCTCTACAATTCACTCAGAACTTTCTGTTCTTTCTTGCCCTATTCACTCAACTTTGGTGTGACTAGTATCTTGAACATCAGACACGGAAGTATTTCTGTAATAGCAAAAGCAATAGATGTACAAATCAGTGCCATTTTTCCTAACTCTACAAAATACAAGGCTATCTTGGAAATGGTGACCCAAATCTGTCAGTTCACTTGTTTTATGTAAGGATAGCAGGAAAAAAGACTGAGAGATAAGAGGCCAGTAATTGGCCAGTCCTAATTTATATTAAAATATTTACAGACATGGTGCTACATGCTTCATAACTTCACTTATAAAAATTACATAAAGAAAGTTTTCCATACATCTATACATCTGTAGAGTTTGGAGAGACACACTAGAGTCCTTCTGACAGTAGGATACCACATTCCATGCAGATCTGCTGGTGAAATCGTGGTCTGGTGCCTGGGATTAAGGGGTTCAGCTGAACCTGTTTAAAAGCAAAATACACACATAAAAAACTTGCTCATCCACCCTTTCAGCCAAAAGAGGTTGTAATATCAACTGCACTTTATACTATCTACACAGTAATAAGACATTTTATTTTACCCAGACAGGTTTGTTGGTTTTTTTTTTTAACTTCTGAGCAGGTCAGTACTAGATTTCTGATGTGAATAAAGCACATGGCTGTGAAAGACGTGACTTCACTTTCAGGGGTGGCCCAGCTCGACCTTTTTTAATGAGTTTGTTTTACAGGCATGTCTCCAGTGACACACACCTCCCACTCACCTCAACAGCTGAAATGATCAAACAATTACTGAAAAAATAGCATATGGGGAAAAAAAGGAATAAAATGGATAGAGATCATGGAATTTCAAGAAATGCTGAGGGTAAAAAAAGGGGAAAAAATTAATTTTACTACTTATGCTTTCCTTTCTGATGGGGATAATCCTACATGGATTAAACAGCTGCAGAAAATACAGGGTTTAAATACCATGTTAGTAACTGCAAAAATAATGGCAAAACCAACTTTGTCATGAGGTTATTGCAAACAAAAAAGTGCTCCTCTAGGGTAACCTTCATAGTAATTCTGTATGTTCAAAATGGATTTTCACATCACCTGACAGACAGGAGTCTCTATGATTTTCCTTTTGTCCTTAAATCAAGCTGGGAAACAGCTGAGTAAATAGCATCAGAACTCTGATTTCAATTAGCAGCCATTAGAAAAGGAGTAGAATTTTTAAAGCTTAACCTAATGATGGAAAAAGCACATCTGAAGTGTTTATGTGATGAGTGAGGAAATTGTCTGAACTATTTCAGCAATATCTTTTTATCTTTTGCAACTTCAAATGTATTTGTCAATGTAATTAGAAGGCCTGTAAGAACTTAGTTGCCAGCTTGAGGTTCCTAGGCTATTTATTAGTCATTTCGGCAGTTCTGCAGGCACTGAAACAGAAGAAAGACAACTTCGAAAGGCAAATAATCCCAGTTCTCTCAGACACTTATCTTCAAATCACACCATATAGGTTCCTTCTGTTTCCTGAATGCAGGTGAGATTTACAGGACTTGTGAAGCCACACACTTGACTTGAAGCAAGATGAACTCCATTCTCAGTGAGATTTGTGGAGTCCAGCTAAAAACAGCCAAAAAGACCTTTACAGACCTTCCAAGCCAAAACCAAGAAACTACCACATCATCAAAAAGAATCTGAGAAACAACTGAGAAAGAGCTGAGAAAGATGCTGCTGGGAAAAAAATAATGCTGTACCAGTCTGAATAATGACAAAATAAAAGAAAAAATTCTTCATGGATCTTAGTCGATAATTTAAAGGGTTGTAAAACTCAAAAGACTGGCATTAAAACAGCCACATTTCATGGAATCTGAATCCAGTTTACTGTAATTTACAGACACATGGGTCACATATTTAAAATGTCAAGGACTATATTCTGAATTATTATTATAAACAGCTAAAATTACTAACTGGTTTCAGGATGTGGAAATGCATTCAAAGAAAGAAATCACCTTCCCAGGTCATGGGAAAAATCACACAAAGACATTCTTAGATGCTTAAAGCATTCATTTAAGAGACATGCCTGACACACCAAACCTTTCTCATCTTAGCACAGCTAACAAACAGAAGCATCCTCAAGTACACATCTTGATGGCAGGGCTACTTGGCAGTGGACAGTACAGAAGCTCAGTTTTACACAAAGTACAATAGATGCTGTTGGCTGCAGAAGTAGTTACTTCATATAATGGATTGCACTGGAAGCACAAAGCAATGCCACCAAAAGAACAAGATAAAGCTGTTTCTCATAAAAAATACAAAGCTAAGAACTTAGAGACAAAGTTTACCTCTCAAAAACTCTTACTTCTCTAGGGAAATAACCCTTTAAGATATATGCAAGTTTCTCACAGATGGTTCAAGTTAATGCTCACTCCCCATAAGCTTTATGCAGACTTGACAACATGAGATGTATTTCATACCAGATTTAACTAAGCTGCAAGACTCAGGATCTTCTAGCCGGACATCTGAAAACGAAGCTTCAGATGGCAGCTTCTTCTGTTCCTCCTTCAAACTCTGTGCAATTTGCTGCAAAGAAAAATATACAATAACATTTTGTTATTTTTTCTCTTTAATTCAAGCAGCATTACACTGCTTTGATGACAACAGAGAAAAGCATACTAAATTGCAAAAGACATCAGCTACACTCAGCTCTCAGTGTTTCAAAGACACCTAGAAGAAACAGACAGATGTTTCCAAAACAGCAGCAGAAACATTGCAATATCAATTAAGATTCACAAATACTACACCGATCTGTGTAAAGGACATTTTGCCTGTTTTTACTGTTCTCTAAATAATAACCTGTGAAGTCACCTAGAAAGAGAAGCTCAAAATAAGGGAACTCAATTCAACACTCAGAATAATTTTTGTCATGGCTTTATTCCCATAAATTATAAGTGTAGTAGATGGCCCAAAAGTACTCTTTAGGTTATTCTCTGAAGGAGGTCAACCAAAGGCTTTCCCCTAGTATTACTCAACATTTCCACACTTCAACCTTTTTCACTACTTGCTCTGCTTCAAAGCAACAAGAGGCAGCAAGAATGGGCAAAGAACTGCATTAATATTTGAGCAGAACAGCACAATAAATATTTCTGCCCTGTGCTTTTAACATTTTAATAATTCATTTACTAAGACAGAAGGTCTCTCTAAATAGCAAGGTTTTGAGGTTTAAAAGCAATCAAGTAAGCAAAATGAATCTCAAACCAGGCTAAGACTGGAGTCTTACGAGGACATATCAAGAGTAGCATAATTTCTCGATTTGGAATGAACTTTCTTCTCCCTATTATTAGCAACCTGAGTTCACTACTAAGAAGTTTCTTACAGTGTTCTGTCTGTTTGCAGGCAAGAATTGAGCACAGTAAGGTACAGTTACACAATGCTAATTTCTTTCAGTCCTCAGCAAAATGAATATATATATATATACATAGCTGTAAAGCTTCTGTATTTTATATAAGCAATGCGAAGTCAAACAACAGCTTCTCTACCAACTGGCTAGCTGGAATAAGTCCTACAATTTTCTAAGCACCACCAGGTATTCTGGTAGCTAGATGGAAAGCAGAATAGAGCAGTAAAATCTGCATCTTGCCAGTCCATGTTGGAGCTGCCATTTTTAGTCAACTCATTCCTTAAACAGCATAGCGTACACACGTCCCCACCAAGCACTAGCTGACCAGTAGTTCTGAAAACAAACTTGCAACTAACTGTGACTGTCTAAAACATCTCTTCAACTCCAGGTCAACGACAAAGTACACTGGTACCTGCTACTTATGAATGTAAGTAAAAATTCAGAAACTTCAAGTTTGGATAAAACTGTTAACTGTAGGAACTATTGCCAATTTTACTGCGTTTAGTTAAAGAGTTCTCTGATATCTAGTTTAGGGTCATAATTTAGTCAGCAGGTGCCAATTCGATAACGCCAGTAATACTAAATGCACCTAAGAACTGGAAAAGCCCAGCTGCAAGGCATTGTACTGCTCAATTATACATACTGCTTATAAAAGAAAACCAGTCAAGGACAATAAAAAAGCTGATGCTATACCTCCATCATTTCCAGCTTGTCAGGATACGCGAGATCGCCCGGAGCAGGCTTGTAGCCTGTGATGTCAGTCTGAATGTAAATATGTGTCCTGTAGACAAGACGCTCTTGTACATCTTCTAACATCTGCTTGACACCAGCTGCAAATGCACCCAGTTGTTCAGCTGACAAAGGTAAAAAAAGCACAAGTTTGTTAATTACAAAACAAGCTAATAGACACAAAAGTTCGATGTATCACACAGAGAACCATCAAAAAACAGTTTGCTGCAGATGAAGTCACACTACTTTTGGAACAGTGGCATGCAGACAAATTTGTGACAAACAAGGAATTCCTGAACTCCATGCTGCAGTTGCTTTGGCTCCCCAAATTTTCATTAGACTGCAAAAACACAACCTCACATGGACCACATCAGACACCTTGTTAGAATGAAGCATTCCAATTACTTGAGACCTCAGCACAGCAATTGGCATTTTCGCAGGAATTCAACTGCAAGGTGGTTTTGGTTCTGTCACAGCCAATGCATGGGGTGTGGCTGCTGAAGTTGGTAAGGTAACTCACCTACCTACCAATCAGAACGGATGATCCAAAGAAGCTCACGTCCAACTTAAGAATTACTGTATCTGCCCAAATTTAAGTAGTAGGAAGACACTTCTTCAGATTAGCCAAAAGATTATGTCAGCAAGTTTTGCCTTATTCCCAACAGTGTTATAATTATACTTCCAGGAAAGTGAGCAATTCTTCATGAGTATTGGCACAGCTTCACCAACAAAGAGCTATGCTGTGTGATACACCAGCTACCAAGTGTGATTTCTATTTACTGCCTGGTGCAAGGCTGAGACTGTGAAAGTATTCCATTATGCACTGGTCATACCAAGCAAATGAGATACCAGGTCAGCTCACTCCTGTAACACTATGACTTACAAAACTCCAAAGCCTACAGCAGCTGCTTAACTCCTCTGCTGAAGTTACAATTTCTAGTCTGGGAAACATGACATTAAGGAGAATTTGAAAAATCCAGTTTGCATTCCTTTGTTTGATCATCATTACGCAGAAAGCCCTACATGGGCGATGCATTAGCAAGGCCAAATGAAGCAATTCATTCCTTTGAAAAGTTCATTTAAATCAATCCTAGTGCATGCATACACACTGGGTGGATGCTTGCTTGCATTTGTACAATCTAGTAAAAACAGGACTAGCATCAGTATATTAATTTAAATGAAGCTATACATAGGCCCATAAATACAGACCTTTACTATAAATGAAAAAACATAATTCGTTTTACATAACCTTACCTCATCTTTGACATGTTTAATATCCACTAGAAAAGAAAAGCATCTAGGAATTTTTTTGCCTGTGCAATTAAATAAGTTTATTGGTTAAGAAGACACTTAAAAACAATCAAGTTCCATCTATGAGTTACCATTGTTCTGCACATGATCTTCAAGCATCTCATTTTTGAGAATCCCACAGAGTTCAGAAAGCGTCTCTAAGTGAATGACATGGATGATCATTGGCCTCAGGACATCATACAATGAAAGACACAACTTCTCCAAGAGCTCACTATGAAGAAAAAATAAAGCAAAATACTTTCAGGATCCCACAGTTCCAAAATAAAATGTATCAAACATAGATTATTTTATGGCATAGATTTTCAGAAGCAGAGCGAGACAACGCAACACAGTGCCACAGAAGACTTTATAAACGACTGCTTAAAACATGAACCCATGATTTCCTACAAAGTATTTTAAGAGATGTAGCATACCAATTACTTAAAATGGTGGTACAGTTTTTAATTCATTTTAAAATAAAATTTATAAAAATAAACCAGAAAAAAGCCCCAACAACTCAACCCATCACAAAGGGAAGATACTGCAAACTGGTTTACTTGGCTTCTGTGTACAGAAATGCTCCTGCTGAGCTCAGAATCATACCCACAATTTCCCCTTGAGAAAAGGCTCATCTGATTCCAAGTACTCAATAGTGTGTTAGAATCAGGAGCACACAAAGAGGGACACAGGAGCCTGGTAGCATTTCTCTAACAACTACCAGCATCACAGGGCACAGTTTCCAATCTAACTGACATTACAGTATCAATGCAATGTGGAACACCAGAAATTCCACTTCAATCCCAGAGGTTTTCCTTTTTGTGTTCAAAATGATGCTTATCTTCGTTATGACACTAGTAGTGCTCACTCTATAGGCATTTTTGCCATTCTCAATGTCCCCTTCACTAAACACAGAGTAGGTAATAATGCTATTGCCAGTAGCTGAAAATGCAAGTAATTTCCCAGTTAGACTGGGAAATAAAAACACCAAGAATATTTAAGTATTTACAGTGTGATACAGATACTGAGTACATTGCGCTATTTTTTTCTAATTCACGAAGAATGTCTGTCAATAGGACAAGAACACCCCAGTTCCTCTCCGAGTGGGCACAAAAATGCTCACAAAAGAATTCTCACAGAAGAAACACTTTGAATGTCTCTTCCTCTGCAACCTAAAGCATTATAAGCAACTTGGTAAAACAGAAACTCTTCATGTTAAAAGCAGAAAACAAAGGAGAAAGTTTCAACAGCCTTAATATTAAATACAACACTCAACCTCCAATCTCTGCTCTTGGCTAGATTTCTGGTGCTCTTTTACCTCTACATAGACACCTGGCTGTTAAGTCTTCAGAGCACCTCACCACTTCAGAAAACAATATGTGGCTATTTATTATGCAGCTAAGAGAAACCTAATAAAGTAGTTACTATTTGAAACGTTTTTCTCAAAGTATTTTATTTAGTTGTAAGCGAAAAAACAAAGGGAAGTTCTTTGGAAACGAGGTAACTACTTTCCACCAAAATTCAAAAATAGAAAGAAGTCTATTCTCATTCTTGGTGCAGATAGCAGTAGTGACGAAATTTCTGTCTGAACAACATTCTTCACTGATTTCAATTAGGGATGTTAACTCCAGGATTTAGACTGAGATGGCTGATTGGTTCTTAAGCCAATGTAGTTGGGTCAACATGTCCCACATGAGACCACAATTTCTCAGGAGAGAGAAAGACCAGTACTGCTCTGACACTGTGGCTTATCTCTAGTGAGGCTTTATGTGTTTATGGTTTTCCTTCAGCTTTGGAGGATGAGGAGGGTACTGGGCAGCATTTTTTCCAGGTTACACACTTAGTCAACTCAAGCTGCACTCGATTCAAGACATTCCAACACTCAAAGCCAGTGTCTCAGTTATATTAATAGATATACACTATTTATGAACTCTATGGCAAGGGAACACGACCTACCCAAATTTCAAAACTAAGTATCATCACTAAAACATACCAGTAAATTAGAGAAGCGGCATAATCTATTCAATTGCTCTCATATTACAGGTCTGTTGGGAAAAACTTACAATACTTTTACAATGCAATACTTGTGACGGCAACAACCCGTCCCTCTTCTAGAACTAGGCAGAGCAGATACAGTTCTTGTCAGATATCCAGTACTCTGCCTTCCGTTCAGCTCACATACAGGAAACATGCAACTATTCCAGTACGGGCAGTTCACTGACTTTAAATCCTTGATGAAAAATAGCTGGAGGTCATCAGCTTAATTTTACACTGAAGCAAATGAAAAGCACTTCTGCAACTGGCTGTGCAAACCACTGACACAAAGACTGTACAAAACCAGCTGAGAGCCAGAGCACTGTAAACTTCTACAGCTGTTTTCAAAGTAACTGTGTGTCTTTATCTCTTTCAGACCATCTACAGAGCATTTGCACAGATTACCTATGGAGCATGTAAACTATCAGCTTTGCTTGAAGAAAAAGGAAAGAAAATAACATCCAGTTCTGACACATAAAGTGATGAAGTTGGGGGTTTTTCTTGCTGGTTCTTACCAAACCGCTTCAACACAGCCCTATATGCCATATAATATTGTCTGCTATATCACATCATACTAAATACAACATGCAGTAAAACAAAACCAGCATGTACCACCTACTCCAGTTTTGGTGTTGGTTTTGTGAAGAACTCGTTGTAAAGCTGGTGTTCATCCTGGCATACATGGACCATAAAGGCACAACCACTTCGTACCTGTATTCACAGAAACACAAATAACTGAAGGTTAAATTCTTTTCCCTGCATCAGTACCACTGGAGATATTACACATATTATTACTATTTGTTATATATTGTATGTTATTATAGCTGTGATTAAACTGAAGCTTTGTAAAATTCAAAATTACTGCAATGAACTCTTAAAACTATGGACTGAAAAGATGTTACTAGTCAAATAAAAGCTCATTGTACAACTTCTGCCCCTTTTTCTGTTTCTGAAACTTAAGTAACCACATTTTACGCCTTTTTTTTTTATCATCCCCTCTCTCTGAGGTTAGTGGCAGGGTGAAGTTTTTACAGAAACAAAACACATGTTGCTTAAAAATATTAGCAACATTTTAATGATGCAAAACCACAGACAACAATGACAATTCTGCACATAAATGACTGAATTAAATAAGTACATTTTTCTTGAGGGAGACGGGATTAAAACATAACAAACCCCAAACAACACATGACTACTTTACCTACCAGAGCACAATGATCTCTGTTGTTCTGACTGGTTAATTCTGTAACAGTGCTAGTGATACTTGGACCAAGCAAAAGCTCCCTCTGGTCAAGGTAACACTGATGGATTTCATTGAGAACTTGTTGATACCTAGCCAAGAAATTAAAACAGTAACTGGATCCTGAAGATCATTTTCTGGTACACGTAAGATGCATTCTAATACCCTCTTTTAGGTCTATATAATTTCAACTTTTAAAACCTTCTTTTAAATTAATAATGTGTTAAACAGTGCTTAAACAAATGTAAATATTTTCAAAACCTAAAATTGCTGAAGATAAATTATGTAGACATACTCACTCTGGCATTTTTTCAGATCTTTGCTCTACTTGTTCAATTAGAGTCTACTCAAAAAAAAAAAAAAAGAAAAAATTACCATCAGTAAATTTTTTTTTTTCTAATAACTGGAAAATAGTTTGCAGTAGTTTTCCATGGACACAATATGCAATCTTTGGACATTCACACTTGCACAATATGCAATCCTTGCATTCACACTGAGAAATTCAAACCCCATTTTCATAACTTCCTTTTTAGCAGTTAGTTACCAGCCTACTTACTCTCACTTTGGGAGCAGCTGCTCTGAATTTTACATAAAACAGCGTGAAGGCATTGTCAGAATTTGGCACAGCTGAAGGATCCTGAATGAAGAGACGAGCAATTGGTTAAAAAGCAAAATAATATCTTTGGCTTCTAGTACATAAAGGCCAAGATAATGAGGTTCTAAAACAGGGTATTGGTTCTTTATGCTTACACTGCTAGTGGAACAGCTCTTTGCCACTTCCCACCAAGAAAGGTATGCTGGAGTCATAACTCAAAAACCAGACAGAACAAAAAAAACCAAACCAAACGTTTCAACCAACAGCCTCAACAGCAAAAGTAACATTTTCAGTAATTACGGCATTCTCCATTAGAGACAATTTCCTCTGGATCTGACACAGTGGGACTCATTGATGTGCTTTAATCCGCAGTTCAAAAACAGAACAGGATTTCCCTCGTACCTGCCAGTCCCAGGGCAGAGAAGCTGAGTTTCAGCTCACATTGATGCTTCAGCTGGAATATCAAAGTGTTGACACAGTTCCCCCTGCAGCTCCCCAGCCCAGCTGGGCAGACAGCTTGGACTTAGACAAATACTAGCACTAATGAAGCAGAGCAGAGACCCACTTTAACCTTCAGGCTTTCTTCCTTTATCCCTACTGATAACAGAGCAAAAAGCAGATGGCCTTCTTTTGAAACATGATGAGGACAGGAAAGCTCTTCCACATTCTCCACCTCCTGCTTTCATTCCTGTCAGCCACCTGATCACCCATCTACAGACACCGACCCAATCCTCCAAACACTCACATGTGAGTAACAACAAAGAACATCCAGATTTCATCATTCCCTTTCCCATCCTGACAAAGCCTCTTGTTCTGTTGCAATAGGAAATCTCAATGCTTGATCACAACTAAAAAACACTGGTCCAGTCTGCACTTCTAGCAGATGCAGACATTAGATGTTTCAGAGGAACATGCAAAACACCCCCAAAACCCTCAAGTACATGTAAACAAACAGGCCTTCTGACTTCTAAAAGGGAAGTACTTCCTGACTTAGACCTGCTAAGCATGAATTCAAATAGAGAAATAATGTTATAGACTCCTATCTGTAAGATGCACTAATTATCAGAACTGTTCAATTCTGCTTGAATTCAGCTCAGTTATGGCAATCCATTAACATCAAACCAAGCTGTGACACTCTTTTTTAAAAATAAAACCTAGTTTTGTACCAAATATGAAAAATGTTCAATGCCACTTAACCACAATCCTCACTCCAGGGGTATCCTTTAGCAAGTTTCCATAAACACTGTCTTAAATCCCCTTCTTTTAGGTCTGTCAGCTCTCAATTCTAGAATCTTTCCATTTCAGCACACCAAGTTTGCCTGTAAAAGGACTGAGCACAAGGCACACAACAATTATTTGGAGAAATAACTACAGTGGGTAGAAAGAGACATTCCCCTCTCCTCTCTTCTCTGCCAGAATATTGCAGCACGAGACTCATCAACATTTTAATGAGACCGTAACACCTCCCTGCTCACCTTTATGCCCAAATCCAACTGGGGTGAGTTGAAGTAAAGCACCTAACTCTTCCCTGTGACACTTTAGCATCACCGTCAACTTTTTTTAAAAAGCCCGAAGGTACTGCCAAAACTGGTAGGAACCTGCCAGTTGTCTACAGCTACACAAAACCACTGCAGAAAAAAAGAAATGCTTTGATGACCAAGAGCACACAAAAATACTTACTGGAATGTAATACTGAAATGGTCATGGCATGAACTCAGAGCTGCTGTGCTTTAAGAATTCTCATCCTGTAACACCCAGTTCCTGTAGGCTTTCTCCAATTATTGCCTGCAATCTCCCTCTGTCTCCAAAGCAATCCATCTCCACAAGAGACCCCTGCAGTACCCCTGTTTCTCTTGGTACCCTCCCCATTTGGCAACACAGACAGCAGTGTGCACTGCAGCTGACTCAGAGCTACAGAGCACGGTTTGGTTCAGGGAGGCAAACTGTCTGCCCAGCTGGCTGCTGCCTCTCTAACACAGTCATTTCTCCATCCCTGGCCTTCACTAAGCTTACTGCTCACCTACCTCAATTCACCTACTTCACCTTCTTCAATTTCCACAATTTTTTAATTATTGCTATCTTAAAATATTTTGGATCACTAGGTCTCTGTCAGATTTGACTGAAAATTGGACAACCTACACAAACAGTGTCACACTAACCTATTTGCACAAAAAGCTGCTGACACCTCCCACTCTCAAAAAAATAAAGAGAGAAGAACTGTATAGTGTTACAACAGACATTTCGGTACCGCTCGAATTACCACTTACTAATTCACCTTACCCTTTTCATTAACTGGCTTGTGAGGTTCTGTAGTGTATTCACAGTGTATGTCTTGATAAGGTGCATAGCTTTAGAAAGGCATTGTTTAAACTTCATCAAATATACAGGATAGTCTTTAAAATTTGGCTGAAAGAAATAAAAAAAATCCATTTTAAGTGGCAACAGAAAGAGGGAAAATTTTATCAAAACTTAAAATACTCTTACACCGAGCTAGAAATGCTAACTTGTACAAACTAAAAGCAGTGTTTTATAAAAACTAAGCAGAATTCTAAGTATATTCAGTAAAAATTTCCTACATTTATAAACCATCATCTCTGACTTCTTACTGTATTTGGCAGAACTTTCAACAGGAAAAAAAACATAAATATAGTCTGAATACATAGTTTTGGCAATTTAGCTAAAACTAATAGAGAATTACTTACATGTGATGAAATATATGCAATACAATCATCAAGCTTAGCCAGCATGGGAATGAATCCTTCACTGTTCACAGACAGCGTAGGGGAATTCAGTTTCTTTGGAAAACAAAACAAAGTATCATTGTAAGGAACCCAAGTACCTTACCACTGGTGCCAAAGTTCCAAAGCTAGGTACACTTCCCTTTTCTAAGACTATTAACAGTGAAATAATACTTACAGTGTTGATGTTTTCCAGCTCGTTAAAGTAAGAAAGTTTCTGCTGGATGTTTTCAGCCAGGTCAACAAGTTCTGACTATTCAAAAAAAAAATAGAAAAAAGAAAATCAGCAACCTAGCAAGTACCTTAAATATATATTTTTTATGTCTTTATACATATATATGTTTCATATTTTACATTACTACATTTATATAATTTTATATTTTTATATAAAATATATATGTGTAAATTATTCAGTCTCCCTTTCAGCTCTCAGCACACACCATTGTTAAATAGCCCTAGATAACATGCAACTAATTAAGTACAAGAGCAGAAGCAGAACACAGCATCTCTTGCTCTCTCAAACCAGAGAATGAGATGTTACTCTCAGTACTGTTTTTGTAAAAAATATATCTATTCTACAGGTTTGTCAACATTCCACTGACACTACTGCACACAAAGAGCAATACTGTCATCAGTATTACAGAGAATTGTAGAAATCCTGTATTTCAGGACCAGAGTCTTTAAAAGTTCTCCCTTATCCAGCCTTACTGAAACAACCTGTTCATTGTATCACTGCTGGAGCAGTTCACAAGGAGGAAGAACGTGGGAAATAAGCTTGTAACTTTAAAAAAAATCTTTCTTCTTGCAAAATACTTGTGTAAGTGATATAAATTATTGATCTCAATATAGGTTGCACTTGTCAGGCATCAGTTGCAAAAGCTGCCCCCCCCAGTTAGCTACCTTTCTTGATTAAAGCATATATGGACACACAGAGAACATTTTACTGCAGAGCCTGATAGCCCAGATACAGGTGAAACACACCCAAACCCCCCAGGTTCAAAGCAAATGGAGGGATTTTCACCACAGCTCACAAGTTTTCCGAGCCTAACAAAATGAAACTTGGTTAAGGTGTCTTAGCAGTTCCCAGTAATCCTCCCATCAAAGGTTACCTGCTCTTTCAAAAGCTGTTCACAGGCCTCATGCAGCGTTCCTGTCTTTGTGGACACAAAAAGATACTGTTTCTGCAGTGACTCCAGGTGCTGAAGGGCACTGTTCACATCGTTCAAGATAGCATCACACTGCTCCTGAAAGCCAGACAAGTAATCCCTCATCTGTCTAGAAAAAGAAAATCAACAGACAACAGAAGTAAAATTTCCCTTTCTGTACTTGCAAATCCAGGTGCCTGCAGGGACACTGCACCCACCTTTCCCTCTCTAGGAACAAAGGATCACTTGCACCAAGCAAGAGTGAACAATAAGCAGATGTTTCGTGACCCGCAGAAATAACAGAGCTAAAGGGTTTGGAATAGCCACTGCGTTAACTCCTTTTCCCTGACATTCCTTATAGCAAACCTACCAGAAAGCAGCAGCTTACACCACAGCTAGTCTGGAGCATGTGAACACTGTCTAAATGGACAGCACTAACATAGTGACTACTGCAAGCTACTGCTAGCCACCAAATTCTGCCTGCCTTGCTTCCAACAGGGGTGTTAATTTGGGTCTCTTCCACACAATTTTCAGTTTCCAATAGAAATTACTTTTTCTCTCCTAAAGTAGCTGAAATTATCGAGAGGATTCGAAACTTACTGTGAGGATTGACAGGCTTACATGAAATAGATCTGGTGCCTAATGTCACCAAATTTGTCTAAGGCTCAATGCAGACATAAACTCTAAATGACCACTGAATATTATGTCAAGCATGCAGCTTAACTGAAGCACCATTCAAAATGAATCACTCTTGGATGTCAGCTAAAACTTCTGAGCTCTACTTTACCATGTACAAAGCAGCAAGTAAATCAATTCTCCGTATCCATGTGCAACCCTTTAGTGTACAACAGGCAAAGAACTGACTTATTTTCCTCTTGCCCCCGTGGCCTCCTGCAAAGTTACGTACTGGCCATCCTACAAACCACTGTGCATCCATAGCACACTGAAACACCTGTGTGTGCTATTATGAACACGTCAAGTGACAAAGTGCAAGGCTGCCACTCTTCTTAGGTTGTTAATGATCTGATCATGGGCTTAGTATATTCCTAACCCTCTGCTTTTAAGAAAAGTTATGTGTCCTCAAATGTCAGAGCAAAAGACGAAGAAACAGCCCAAAGAAAAGCAGAGAAAAGACAGCAGAAGGGAATACAGCAACATCTCTTTGTGGCCAAGGGCAAGTTTGTAAAGTCTCAAAACACAAGCCAGTTTCCATAAAAGTCATCAGAAGATTTAGCTAAGCCATTCAGCTGTACTTCAGACTCTCAAAGAGTAACTGCCAAAGTTACTCTTCTGAGCCCGATGGGAAAGCCAGTTAGACAAAAATAGATGAGAATGCTGAGTCTCAAAACTGGAGTTGAGCAAAGTGACAAGGAATGCAGGGAATGCAGATACAAAATCACAGCCATAGTCACTGATGAGCCAAATGGTGAGAGCAGAAATGACTACCAGCCACATCTGCTTACACAATCTCGCCCTTGGAGGATGCCATTCCCATAGCAGCAGCAGTTGAAAAAGCACATGAAAGCTCTTAGATTGCCTTTATCTACAGCTCTGCCTGTAAGCCAAAACCAATTTCCATCTGTCTTAATATACTGGGAAGTTCAGAAGGAAATCTGTGTCCCCTTTAACTGCTCTGCCACAAGGGCAATGGCCTTCTGGGCTGGAAAGCTTCAGCTGCTCTGACACATTCCCCCATTTCCCACCAGCTGAATCTCAACACATGCTAAGATTAATGGACAAGATGAAGTCTTTCAAGGTCTAAACCTGCTTATAGTGAAAAGAACTGAAGAAGAACACGTACCTATACTTGGCACCTTCATCTTGATCCATCTGTGTTTGCACCTGAGCAAACCAGGAGAAGAACTAGAAGAGATTTTATGATGTGAACAACATAGATATCACATGCAATCAATTTAAAAAACCCCAAAATCTATGATCTATGAAAAGAAGATGAGCTTTTGTTAAAAACAGAGCTGTTTAAGAACTCAATTACTAATCAAGCAAACAAATTCCTCACTGTAGGTCTCCTCCAACTGAAACATTCTATTCAATTGCTCCACAAATTAAAATGGGAAAGACTGTGAATTTCATCTGGTTTTATCTGCACAAGAACAAGGCTGTCACATCACAGAGTGGGGAGAGGGCATGACATATTAAGAGCAACACCACCTTACTGAAGGGGTGCCTTACTCTCACATAAGACTCCACTCCACATGGGAAAAGTATCTTTCACTAAAGAGCTAAGACTTCAAGGATTTTTTCACCCAAGTTTTTTATGCATCTTGAAAACAGCCCAAAAAAATTTGCAACCCCACCAAAAGCTACACAAGAGACACAGAAACTAACAGAACTCTCTGAAGATTTCTGCAATTTGGAGGTTATTCAGCATCACTTACCTGCTGTGCCGTTTCAATTCTCTCATCCTCCATCCCCAGCGCGGCAAATCCTTTCAAAAGGACATCCTCTGTGGATTCTGGCACCGCAGCCGTCAGCAGGACAGGGAGTGACTGGGACGTTAGGCTGTTCAAATCCTCAATTGGAAGCTGCTCACAAAACCCCACAAACTTTTAGTTAGAGAACTCACAGACAGTTAATATTTGCTGCTCAACTACAACACAATCCCAAGCAACAAGATGAGAAAATTACAGGCATCTACTTTTGGAAAAGCAAATGCAATGGACATTTTATCTGTCAATGTGATATTAAGGTTGGAAAAGACCTCTAAGATCATCAAGTCCAACAATTACACCAAACAACTACAATATCTATATATTCAGAAACACCTGACAATTTTAAGTCAGAAACCATTACACAGCATTTTATGTCAGTGCATGTTTGTGTAAGAATGGGAGCTGAACATACATGTACCTGACATACTGAGGAGCTGCACTTTAAGATCCAATTTAACTGGTCCTAACCCAGAGAGATGGCCTAGAAAAGTATCTGAGAACATAAAAACTTGGAAGAGGCACAGAAGTAAAAAATAATGCTGCTACTGTCTACATCACATGGCAACACCACTGTACAGGAACTGTCAGATCTTTCTGCCAGATAATCAGGGAAAATTCAAGACTTAACACAGCCATAATTTATTCAGAAGACAAGGAATAGCTCTGCTAAATGGGAATTATCAGCCACAATTGTTTTGTTCAAGCAAGAAAAATATGGAAATAAAAGTAACTTGAGATAAGTTGCATTTAGGTGTGACCAGAGATTATTAATTAGCTTTTATGAAAGAAATTAATTCAAGAAAACATTGTTATATACACTTAATTAATGTAATACACTCTTTAATTATCACGATGAATAAAGTATGTTTTCTGCGGCTAAGAACATCTGTAATGCAGAAACAGAAAACACTACTTAAATACAAACTGGTATCTCTCAAGAAAATGAATAGTTTAGTGAAATATTTGTTGCTTGATAATACTAGTCTGGCAAAGAAAGAACAATCAGTATTTCAGCTACTTGTGAGAAGACAGATTGCTGTGTGTTGTTCGACTTCCACATATCTCTCTCTGCCCCCAGAACAGGCAGGACCCTAGCAAGGGAGCCAAGGTTTTTCTCATGACTACTACTGAGGAAAGGACAGGTCCATCAGAGACTGTTTTTTTTCAATGGGTACAAATTGAAAGGAGAGGAAATTTCAAGTAGGTATTAGGAAGAAATTTTCTTCCCGTGGTGAGGGTAATGAGACACTGGAACAGGTTGCCCAGGGAGGTAGTGTTCAAAGCCAGGCTGGATGAATCCTTGAGCAACCTGGTCTAGTGGAGGTGCCCCTGCCCACGGCAGGGGGTTGGGACTAGATGATCTGTAAGGTCCATTCCAACCCCTAAAATTCTATGATGATTCTAACAGCTGAGACAGCACTGCCCCAATCCACTGAAGTCTTGGCGAAGCTGTTGTCCTCACTGGCAAATTCAGCTCCTGCCCTGTTGCAAAGCTGATAGCAGCACATCCTTCTACGATCCTTTTGGATGCCTGCCAATATTTACTTTTTGCATACAGCTCACACACAAAAAAGAAACCAGGAAGAATGAAATCAAGCAGGTGCATTTCAGGAAGGAATTGCTTTACCCTCTCTCTCCTTTATTTTAACCTTTCAGGCACTTGCAGAGAGCCAACTCTGTTGATTTTATGGTACTATATCTTGCCTCACAATACTGTTCAAACACAAAACCTCTCGTGAAAGGCACAGCTAAGGAATGCAAGCATTCCCTTTGCAGACAAGGAAGCATTCATAAATAATCACCCTGCCAGAGTCTTATAATTTACAGCTGAGTGGGAGACCACGTCTTCCGTGCTAATGTCAAATTAATAAGCTTTTTACCACTATTCCTGGCTTTACACAGCTCCTTGCATTGCCTCCAGGTCGCAGACCAGGAAACAACATCGGCGCCAGCAGCTCTATGCATAGATCAGGACGGACTTGATGAAAACACTGTAACTGCACAACTAAAGCTCTCAGCTGCAGGAGGACAAACTCTGACGAACCGCGGGAAGCAGCGAGGGCAGGCACGGGAATTCCCGCGGATTCTAAAGGGAAAGCCGTCAGCGC